GCGTCGAATCTATAACAGTCTTGCATAGTGTGTATTTATCCATAAAATTCAAAATACGATTATTAAAATTGATAGTAACAGTTTCTCTGTTGCGCATTTTTGTTATATTACATACAAATTTATTATCTGCTATATATAAAATTTTATTATTCCGCGCATTATACATACCTAAATATTTTCTACGTTGTACAGGACATACAATTTAGGATGTACTTCACAACTGAATATAACATCGATTGCTTTACACATTAAATAAGATTCCCTTAACATATCGCTTCTTTGCAATTCTTTTCTCTACACAGTACCTTACTTCTAGAAAATTCTTGTGAATTATTAAACTGGCAAATGAGACAATTAAAAATAAATACGTTAAGAACGTTATTGTTTTATACAATTTTTCCTTCAATTATCGCCTATGAACAAATCTATTTTAAAGCAATATCATGCGTTTAAGGTACAAATTAATGCTTTCGTGGATTTGTAAATAAAAAAGTCGTGACCATGTTCCGCCTTGGGTAAGTATTATATTTGAAATTTTAATCGTATACTTAATTTGGTTGCCTTGTGTTAGCATACAATAGGCGCATGCCTTTTCAAAGTTCAAAACTACAAAGTTAAGCACGCATTTATATCGAAATCTTTAAACGATAATTGTATTTATACCTGTTTATAATAAGAGATTTATTCTATTTGAACGTATCGAAAAGTTAATGCATAAACTATTTATACATTTTTTTGTGTTAATATGAAAAAAATATATGTATATTTAGAACGAAAAGGCCAGAGAAAAGAATAAAAAGTGCGAAAAGTGATACTGAAAAGAATTAATTTATAAATTATTCACACACACACACACACACACACATTGAAATTTTAAAAAATTGATCGATGATCAATCACGATGATCAATATGCAAAAATATAAAAGCAGTGTCGATGTTATTTATCGAAACTTTGTTACTTGTACATGATATTGCCAATAAAAATATATAAAATATAAAAAATAAAACCGTATAAAATCAGCCTGAGGGTTATAGGATTAATACGACGAATTCATGTACGTCATATTTGAAAATTGTTAACGCTTTATTTGATTTGCCACACGACACGTGCTCTAAATACTACAATGTTCGTCATAAATGATTTCGTCCGGTCTCAATTAATTTCCCGAATGGGTGTAATAATAAGATCCTTGATAAGCACGTTCTCCGGAGTCTGCAACGAGTAGAGAATAGCGTCCGCCACGTCTTTTGATTTCAGGGCCAATCGTGAATTTTCCTTTAACCATTGCTGGTTGAGCTCGGTCTCCACTAAGCCCGGACAGATATTCTGTTGCAAGAGAATGAATCATGTTAACAGATATCAAAGAACAATAAATTGAAAAATGAATTTTCAGTGTACCTTTTTCCGAAATGTTTTTTTATTTTTATATAATAAAAAATTATTACTTTTAATATGCTTTAAACATACTTTACTTTGTTCGTGAGAATTTAGGAAAAATCAAACTTTCTTTCAATGATATCAAGTAGAATGTGTGTGTTAAGAGATTTAATTTGAAAAACTTTTATTATATGTTGGAATGATAAGATTGACTTTATACACAAATACTTAAAAAACAATTCCTTACAGTACGATTCGAAGTTACTTACGGTCACTTTGATGTTGGACTCGTTTTGGGCCAACTCCAGACGAAGACATTCACTCAGTGCGGTCAACGCGGACTTGCTTGCAGCATATGCCGGGGAAAGAGGCCGGTCGGAGGCAAGAGGCAACCATTTCAATCCACATACGTCATTGACATTAATGATCCAGCCGTTGTCGATTTCTAATATTTTTTTTATTTATCAGATATAGAAATAATTTTTTCTAATTTTTCTTTACCTACCCTTGTTTTTCATCAATTGCAGAATCTTCTTGGTGAGAAGCGATAAGCCAAGTAAGTTGATATCAATAGTCTTCTTAAGTTCCTGTATACCACCGTTGATGCTGGACCAATCTAAGCTAATGCTAGCGCTATTTACTAAGATGTCCACACTACCCAGGTTCTTCTCTATCCACTCTGATGCACTTTCGATCTCATTCGGGAGACTCAAGTCGCATTGAAGAGGATAAAATTTGCCGGGTTTGCCCTTCAGCTCGTCCACGAAAAGCTACAAAGATCATAAAAGAGATAACTAACTCATAATTTATTAATATCACTTTTACTGTTATTAAATTAAGTGTAATTTGCGCTACAAATTTGTTTCGAAGCATTTGACTAATCAATCAGAAGAAAGAATTTTACTAATTCACTGATTTGTAACATCAAGTAGACCGTAACCATAATCCATAATTTGTATACAATTCGATTATATTTTTGGCAGTGTTAACATTAAATATACCTTCAGCTTGTTTATATCACTGGAGAGGCCGATAACTTTAAGTCCCTTCGACACCAATTCCTCGGTGACTGCTTTACCAATTCCGGAGCAGGCACCGGTGACAAGGGCGATCTTATTCGTTAAAGTACTCATACTGAAAGTTTTGCGTTAATTCAAAAGAATGAAAGAAGATTGCTGCTCACTGCCACGAGAAGCTTCTGCCGATCCACATCCCTGACACCTATTTATACCATGCTGAAAATCTGGACCTCGATTAGAGGGTCGTGTATAATCTACGTCTAGATAATTCATTGCTTTCTGAATGATGCATTTCTGCACGGGTATTGCGTATTTGCGATATTACCGCTTGTTTTTGACGCGTGGCAGAAGGATACCTCCATCTGAAATATATGTATAACGCCGTGTTCGTTTGCAGATAAGACGTATTGTCATTAAAACTTGAGATACGCTCGCGAATGTTAATTATCATGGAAACAAAATATCATTAATAAAAACAACAATTAATTGAAGTCAGTGTTTTGTTATTTTAGATAGCTGCATCATTTACGATGTCTCGTGTTCTTTCTTCAATTTTTTTAAAATTAATATTACCTGCATACGTACAAATATTTGTATTATAAATTGCACATACAATATATATATTTAATTTTATATTTTATTATAGAGAGGTTTATATAAAAACCTAAATTAAAATTTATAACGGCCTTTTGAAAAAATCGAAATTATTAGAGAAAGAAACATAAAAGTCAATGCTAGATATTATTGCAAAATAATTTTATCATACTAAATGAAACGTAAATACAGACGTTTCGATCTTTTTTTAGATCATCCTCAGTGTTTACGGTAGTAAAATTAAATTAAAATTATGTAGAGAATCATTAAAAGCGCAATAAAAATTTAAAAAACTTATGGTTAGATACAATTATGTATAAAAAATTGCAAGTTATATTCACGCTGCCAAGATGTTGATCACAATTCATTGTACATTTTGCAGCAACTATGGTATTTTTTTAGTTCTTACCAAAATTGTTCTTAAAATTGGAAATTTATATGCAATAAAAAAGAAATTTGAATGCATAAGTTTTAAGAACAATTTTCGTAAGAACTAGAAATATACCATGATTGTTGCAAAATGTACAATGAATTGCGATCAACATCTTAGTAGCGTAAATATAACTTGATATGCAATTTTTTATAATAATTATATCTAACCGTTATAAATTTTTAATTTTTATTGCGCTTTTAATGATTCTCTACATAATTTTAATTTAATTTTATTACTTTAAACACTGAGGATAACCTAAAAAAAACTAAAAAAAGGTCGGAACGTCTGTGTGTGTCTATATATATATATATATATATATGTTTCATTTTATATAATTATTTCGTAATAATATCCAGCGTCAGCTTTTATGCTCCTTTCTCTAATAACTTTAAAAAATACTTGTTATTATTTTATCTTTAAGCTTTGGCGCAAGATAAAATTTTATATCGAGTATTAATACATGAATACTACAGTGTCCCACGGGAAGGTGTTGAAACTAATCAGTTGTCATTTTCGAAAGTACTTAGTTATTGAAAAAACAAACCCTGTATAAGATATTTTTTAATATAAATATTATTTTTTATATAGTAATTAGATGCACTCAGCAATAGGTAATTCCAAGTAGCACACAGCGCTTACAAAAGCGTTAAAAAAGCGCATATAATCGTTTTTTAGCGCTTTGTAAGCTGGGATATCAGTAATAGGGTTACAAAAATAAAAGGTAATACCAGGATTTCAGAATTAATTAATCTTTAATTTTAAAACACACAGTATCTTCTTCAGAGAGAGAGAGAGAGAGAGAGAGATTATAATAAAAATAGCACGGGATCAGAAATGCTGACGAAACGAATTTGCACGATTTCCGAAGAAAACGATAAGACGTTCTGCGATATCTTTGTTAGGAACACTTACATATCAGAAATTTCAGAGAACGTGAAGGATCTCTCGCGAAGTACGTGGTTTCATCAGCAAATTTGCTTACAAAGTTTGGCGCAGTTAAATGGGAAAATTCATAACTGATCGCGAATATTGCGCGAGAGCGCGTCTCCTCGCATGTTCATCTTTTCCATTGATCTATATCGATTATCTTCGACTCTTTCAGAATATATATTACTACTCTCTAAGATCGAAAATCATGGTAGAAGGTCCTTTCAATACTGTATCGTTAACGAAGTGCAGCAACAACGCCCAGCAACGCACAAATTTTTCAGTAATGAGTCGCAAAGTTTATTTTATTTCTCAATAATGGATCTTAGTTTAGGACACCTCTACCTCAAACTTTTAATACATTACAATACAGTGTGTAAAACTTATATTTAGACTTATATATATTTATATATTTATTTTATGTAATGTCAGATCAGAATTACATAACAAAGTGTTATATTTTATTGTACATTTCTGTGTTCTTATTACTTTTTCTATTACTTTTTATGAAGCTAAAAAAGCGACATTACTTATGCTTCTCCATTTTATATTTCTTTTCTTATTTATATATATTTTAACATGGTAGATTGATTGAAAAATTCGCTTATATTAATTCATAAAAAGTTTATGAAAACCATAATTGTTCTAATTACATTCAACGTTTCATATTTGGTCGCCTTGAAAATCGGTTACCATGATTCGCCCAGAGGTCTCAACACGACATCTTGTATCTACCGGAAGAAAATATTATTTTTATTAAATTTTATTTAAGTTTTATTTTGTATAATAAGAAAGGACAATGTCTAGATTGTCTAAAGACGTATGTGCGACGTACCAACACGTGAGGAGGATTAGATAACACATAGATTGCTGCCGCTGCGACGTCGTCCGGATTCAAAATTGGCATCGCTGCTATTGCTTCCGGAGAGAACATGCTGTAGGAAGCCATGAATTCCGTTGCAACCAAACCGGGACTAATGTTCTATATATGACAGAAATAATGTAATTAAAGTAAGAATTTGTTCTTATCTTATAAGCTTCTTGTCCAATTTTAAATATATACATATATATGTGTATATATATATATATAGGTATATACTTCTCAGTCATCATTAATTGTACAAAAATAATTTTTAATATATTAAGGAGAGAATTTAAATTGATTTTAATAAGAATATATTGTTTTGAGGAACAATTACGTTCCATTTATTAAATGTCTTACTGTGACACGTATACGCGTGCCCGCAAGCTCGTGTCGCAAAGTCATAGCCAGGCCGGTAAGAGCACGTTTTGACGCCGGATATACACTGAATCCTGGAACGAAGGGCACCCTCTCGGCAGCCAAACTATTCACGTGAATCACTATGGCATCTTCAGCCGCCGTCTCGCGCATCATGCGTACAGCCTCGCGTGTGCAGAGACAGAGTCCGAGAACATTCACGTCGAACACGGATCGCCAATCTTCCAAAGTACCATCTGTAAAACATGTTGAAGAATTAAACTCGATACGATATTTTACATTATTCTCTACAATAATGTATTTTTATTTTTTTTTAGAATAAAATTATCTATTTTGTGTGTGTGTATATCGATTAGATAGAAGAATTTAAAGAAAACGCATGAAAATTTTTTAGGTGATAAAGAAATGTTAACATCGATTTTAGAATTTATGCAGAGCTCTTAAACTATAGATCCATAATATGAGTTCCGCATAAATTCTAAATTCGATGTTAACATTTCTTTACCTACTTCTGAAAAAATTTTCATGCGTTTTCTCTAAACTTTTCTATCCAATATTAAAGATTTTTACCTATGAGCGAAGACTCTTTGGTGATACCAGCACTGTTAACGAGAACGCTTATCGGTCCAAGATTATCCTTTACCCACACGAAAGCCACGGTTACGCTTTCTTCCTTAGTGACATCGCATTCCACAGGATGGAGTTTGCCCGAGGAATCTTTCAAACTATCAGCGATTTCCTTAATTTGTTCCACTCTCCTCGCGAAGCCTGCCACTATCATACCTGACATAATAAATCGATCATATCAATGAGCTCCATATTATATCTACTAATTCAAATGCGGATTTTTTTTCACATAATTCCCTAATAATAAGACTTTGAACGCGATATTTTACAACATTTCGAATAGCACGTCAATATCTTGTTTTCTTTCGAATGTAACAGTGATATTACATTTCCCAATTAGTGGACGATACGGCAACAATTATCTCGTCGAGATAAATGTACGTGTGCAATCGCAAAGTCAAATTTCTTGCCGGAGGAATTTTAACGTAATATTAATTTATTGTAATTGGAACACTTTTTCACCTTGTTTAACAAGATTTCGTGCGATTGCTGCACCAATTCCGGCGCTGGCACCAGTTACTACGGCCACTTTTCCTTTCCATCGGTCCATCCTTCTGCAGTGAGACTTGAGACGTAACTGCGGACCAGAAGCCCTCGATAATGCGATTGCCTTTACAAGCTCTAGTCATCAATATGGAGAAAAAGGAGGACAGACATCCAACAAAGGTATGAAATTCGATAGTCTTTGTAACTGATCACTGCCTGGCCTTGATTAGATGCAATTACATCTGATTGAATCTCGATCTTACGAAGAAAATAAAAAAAAAAATCAATAGATTTTTTTAGAAAACCAGGAGAAGAATTCAATTGGAATAAGTCCAATTTATTTCGTTTATGTTTGCATACTATTTATTGTCTATATTAATATATTATTTATAAATTGTTTAGGAGCAAAATTTTTATTCAATTTTTTACATTCATCAAGTTAATTAGTTTATACTATATATTTACTGTTTAATTATATTGTATATATTAATATGTTTATTAATTATAATATTCAAATACCAATTAAATTTCTTAAATTTGGTCAAAGACCAATTATAGCGTAATATGCGAGATGCAATTGCTTTTTTGTCATTTTAAGCGCATCTCGAGGCCAATGAAGATCAATTATTATCAATTGAGCTTATAATGCATTATAGTTAACAACTGCATATTTATGAGACCATATGTTCATGTATGTCGTCTGCAATTATTTAATGAACATCATCGCATAAATTGTGATTTCGAATTTACTTGGAGCGTTCTCCGTTCCATACAACAACAAACGTTACAGACATTATGCTAAAAATTCAAATTATACTCATTATAAATCGCAATTAGGTAAAGATAAATAAATACTGTTCAGTTCCGATTTGGCTACAAGTATATTTTGGGCGTGAGGCGTCTACATGGATGAGTACTATACAATGCGAGGTATTAATTTTTCTCTCCTAGAGATCTAAAGTTTCGCATAACCGTGATATATCTCGAAATGATAATGATCGATCGAATGTGTAGAATTTCTAAACATCGGGATTTAGGCAGACAAACTTGGTACAAAGAATTGTGTATATGTTTCTTCCTTTCTATTTTTTTAGATGTTTAGAAGAGAACGTGTCCTCCCTCTTTCTTTCACTTTTAAAAAACGCACCTCTCACTAACTCAATCGACGAACGAGCTCTAACATGTATAGTCGTATTAAAAGACGAGAAACAAAAAGGGGTGTCCACGCCTTTGCTCTCTCTGTACCGCTTATTACACCGCCAATTGTTCTATTTACAAATCCTATTCCTTTTTACAAATATCTATACGCCTCTTATACGTTGCAAGAAAATATATCATTTCTTCTCGTGTAGAGACACGTACGCTACGTTTACTTCACGCTGAGTTTACATCTTCTCTAAGCTGGTCAATGTTGTTCATCTACCTTACGCGACGCGTATTTAACATGACGAATATCGAGAAATATATGCGGCAAGGAAGAATAAAACAAAAATACAAGTTTCCAAAGTGAAGAGAGACATTGCTTCACGCTTAGCTATACCGGTTCCGATTAACCGGTTGGAAACCGCGATCTCATTGTGTTTCCGCTGTCTCCCCCAAGTAGAACACAGAAGTCATGAGGACATTACCATGACCTCATTCGTCACTTATAAGTCAATTTTTAGGTATCAAATGACGTCATGATGACGTTCTGTGATACTATTATGACACAATTATGACTCCGTGTTCTATCTGAGCCATGTTTAACTAAATTTATTAATAATACGCGTCTAAACTAAATCTCGCACGAGTCATAGGAAAACGCATCAGAGAATGTGAATTTTCACAGCGTTTCAAAGATGTTGTCTTACATGGTTCTTTAGTATTGTACAGTTACATTATTATATTATTTATAATGTCTATTTTTTGGGAACATTACATGTACCCTAACGAACGCTCTACGAGCTATCGAGAGATCTTTCTTTTTCCGTATTTGAATCGTACAAAATAATAACCACAGTATCTACTCGAGACATCGAGATAGTACATTTTTCTATACATTCTACATACAACAGTTTTCGCTAACATCTCACGTACACGTATGTAAACAAAATGGATAGAAGAAATCACCGATTAGACTCGATTATAGGCGAGAGAAAAAAATAGAGAGACAGCAAACGAATAGAAAACTACTTGTTATTTACACTTCATTGTTTTACCGTGAGAGAAGATCGAGCATACTAAAAGATAATAGAAATAATAGATGATATTGGTAGTCAAAAGATTCAAAAGTTAGCGAGAATATCGCAATTTAGCATTTACCAACCACTTACTTCGACTATACACGAGCTAAAATAAATTTTTATTCTTTCGAATCGCGGACGATCGCAATTTCTCTTTCTTCTTGTGTCGTATTGATATAAAATTGTACCGCCAATTACGAATACTTATTGTATTTAATTGCTTTAAGTGACACGTACACGTATACTCACGTGCACACACGAATACAAGAATACCACGCTATCACATCGACACAGGACTATGTAATAAAAATTTGCACCGTAAAAATCGGATATTAACGAATTAAGCTAAGAATAAATATTAATCTCTTTTCTTTTCGTATTTTTAATTATTACGATTTTTCGCAATAATTTCATTCCCGGAAGAGGAAAGAACGTTGGCGAATCTGAAGAGAGAGAGAGAGAGAGAGAGAGAGAGAAATAAAACAAAAATATGTCTTGCCTACGTCTTATGAATCTTTAAATAAAACACTCTTTGGAAAAAAGCTAACACGCTTATACCCAGGGTAGGCAGGCGTAAGGGGCGCAACTATTCTTGTCATGGATGCTAACGAAGGGAAGCGAGTGTCGTTGCCTGTGTCAGTGTTGACGAGGATAGGGGTCCAACTGCGTATTTCTGTGCATCTGCGGTGTTACATTGCTCGGTTGTGATTGCTCCTGTCTGTGTTGCTGGTGGGAATATCGAGTTTGATAGCTTTGTTGTTGCTGCTGATGTTGCTGCTGTTGTTGCTGCTGTTGTTGCTGCTGTTGTTGCAACTGTTGTTGGTGCTGGCGTTGTTGATGCTGTTGCAAGGTATATTGTTGTTGCGATTGCGACTGCGATTGCTGCTGTTGCTGCTGGCCCTGTTGTTTTCGTTGCTCCGAACCAGCCGCCACGTAAGAAAATACGCAGAGGACAGCGTAGCAGATATCAGACGCCTTCGAATGAAAAGATATTTTACGTCGTTAGGTACATATATATTATTCGTATCTTGTTATTCATTAAAAGTTTTGATGTTAAGAAAACGTCGTTAGAAATTAAAGTAAATATCAAATTTTACTAATTTTTATTTAATTTTCATTTTATCTGTATATATAAAATCAACCTAAAATTATTTGAAACTTTATCCAGAAACAGTAAATTAAATAGTAAAAATTTCTTCTGAATATAATTTATAAGAACACAAAAATGAAGAAAAGAACTTACGTGAGATGTAAGAAAAGAAAAAACTTAAAAATAAGTCTCATGCGATGTCATTTCCGCGCTTATGTTTCTGATGAGTTTCCAACGGGAGTTTATTAAGAGTAAATGCGATGGAAAATATTCTATGCAAACAGCGAACCGCCTCTTCAGCCTGTCGTACAATATATGGCTATAGAAATAATAACAAAAATTGAAAGTAATAAAATGTCTATTTTACTTTTTTCTCTATTTTCACTTTTTTCTGATTCTTTTTATTTATTCTTCGATGTACATAATTAATTAAACGTAAACCGTTGTTTATAATATTTTATCCGTTTATTAAATGCTTAAACTATTGTAAAATTAAAAAAAATGTTATATTCTACATATAAAATAAATATTTTATTCAGTTAAAACGAATGTATTGTTAACGGAATTAAATTATTATTTTATTTTATGGTGAAACAGACATTGTATTACTTTTTTTTCGAAACAAATATCTTTTCTTATTACGACAGATATTTTTATTTCAGCAGTAAGAAGCTTTGAAACGCGTACTCACCATTTGTGACTTATATTTACGTTGAATTACTTGTCTAGTTTTAGGATCTGAAACAGAAAGGCACTCGATATTCCGACATTCAAAGATTAAAAATGCTAAATTGCAGCGTAAGCGTGTCAGAGAATATTGTGAATCTATTCTTTTTTTTTCACGAGATATCTACGACGTAAAAGCGTAATCGATGCAGTATTCGGTATGTCACTTACTGAATTCTTCCAAAACAAAGATTCCATCCTTTTGAGTAAAGCACTTGCGGATATGATCGAGTCTTACAAAAAACTGCAAATAACACAATCGGTTTGCGTTAGTAGTCTGCGCATCGCGTATCATAGATCTGGATCTAATCGATCATGCACACGATTCTGACGATTCTCTATTTGCCTATCATTATCATATGCGTCGATATAGCAATATCAGTCGTGTGTGTGAACAGCTTTCTAAACGAGGCGTGAAAATGTATCGTGATGTTCCCCCGACGATAAACGTCTGTTTTTACCCTTCGAGCGCTGATTTTGTCGTGTCTCTTATCAATCAACAATAATTCTTAGCTACATTTTAATTAATTATTAAATATTCCTATTTTATTATATTTATTGCAGCAAAATTATAAATTTTTTTATAAAAAAGCTGGAAGCGCTCGACGAGTTTTGCAGAAGAAGTGTGTTTCACCTACTGCCTGTTTTAATCGATGCATGTCACCGTACAGAAAATCACAATTATACAAATTACAATTAGCAAAATTATACGCTTCTTTCCTATAATTTTGCACGATACTTTTTATCGATAGTTTATTAATGACATAGTGACGCGCATGATGTATATCGGATAAAAAAAGTCACCGATAAAATTTATAACAATTGTAATAATTATTACTATTATTATTTCATGCCGTTTATACAATAATTAAGTATAATTTGCACTTAATTAGATGCGAAGCAATACCAGAGTCGCCACAGAAAATTAATTTTAAAATTCCCTGACTTTTCCAGGTTTTCTAGATAAAAATGGGAAATTTCCATGACCATGAATATAAAATATGTAAAAATTTTAACACTATAAAATATGTAAAAAATTTTAACATTTAGAATCAAGGATTGTAAGAAAGCTAGCTTATATTATTAAAAACGCAAAAGAAGCTTAGTAGCATAATAAAATTTTGAGGGCAAATTCAAGCCAACAAAAAATAA